CACACACACACACACACACACACACACACTGTTTGATATTTTCATGTGTATTGTTACGGTTTTATGTTGATGGTTGTATTAAAAAATGTGGTTCACCTGAATTCCCTAGCGTCACGTGATTAGCTAAATATATGATTTCCTATTGGTCCAAACATCGTTATATACCTTATTGTTGCATAGTGCTATGACAAAACAAGTTTAAAAATACGTTGATGATTAATATTTTGAAGTAATCTTTTACAAATGTGGCCATTGTTGTGGTCACGTGGTGTCATAATCTGATGTATGTCTACTTGATTTATTTCCATTTTTAAGTGATTAGCTCGTTTTATATTGAAGTGTTATAAAGTTTTCTTGAAATTGCTGAAAAATTATAAATATATAATCCAAGATATTGGATAATTTTTGTGGTAGTTATTCTTTAAGAAAGATAACTTTTATATATTGTATTATCATATTGATTGTTTAGAAGCTGTAAATGCTTAGGGCTAGCGTTTATTTGTTTGTTTTGCATTTAGCGCAAAGCTACACGAGGGCTACCTGCGCTAGCCGTCCCTAATTTAGCAGCGAAAGACAAAAGTGAAGGCAGCTAGTCATCCCCACCTACCGCCAACTCTTGGGCTACTCTTTTACCAACGAATAGTGGGATTGACCGTTACATTATAAAGCCCCGACGGCTGAAAGGGCGAGTATGTTTGGTGGGACGGAGATTCGAACCCGCGACTCTCAGATTATTATAGCGTTTATTTTGCTATATTATTGTCTTAACCTTATCTCCACGTGTTTGTAGTCTGTATTTTACAGCTAAAATGCATGTTTGATTAGTCTGTATTAGTTTAGAAACATTAATTGTTTATGATACTTGGTAAAAAAGAAAAAAAGATGGTTAATTTGTGTTAAGTACAAAGCTATACAATAAGCTATTTGAGCTCTGCCAATTACCGGTATGGAAACCCGATTTTGAGTGTTATAACTCAGATTTATTGCTAAGCTACCGGGAGGGGCAGTAAGAAATGGAACTGCAGAAAGTTGTTGTGGTGTGTTCAGTATGATGAACTATTATAGGTGTTCATCTTATATCTACATAAAAATGCCCCTCTCCCACAAACACAGGCTTACGACGCTAAAAACTGGGTTTCGATACCAGTGTTGGGCAAAGTAAAGTAGTTCACTGTGTAGCTTCGTGCTTACCAACAAACAAGACCTAAACACAAGTAACAGCTAGTATAATGTTTATGATATTTCATCTGCAAGTCATTTGGTGACTTCATACTTTTAACTCGACTAGTAAACAGAGCAACAAGTAAACGGCGTTGAACCTTGACCCCGAGGCGGAATACTGCTTCATGCAGCTAATTAATTATCGATTCTTTCATTTTCAATCTCATATAAAAAAATATGCTTACAATCTGAGAAAATTTTGGTAAGTTCCTATAAGTAAGCCGTTCAAGGTTCTGTCAAAATCGCAAACAAAACAACAACAACAACAAACAAAACAGTTTAAGTAGTCCTTTGATCTTTTATACACGGCCTTCTAAAGTGTAGCGGTAAGGAAGGAAATTTCTGGCACCACTCCAGTTCGGTGTCTTGTATTCAAATCATCACATTGTCACTAAAGAATTATATTATAATTGATGTCAAACGTTTATGGAAAGTTGGAATGGAGAACGTCGGTTGCCAAGAACGGCACTTTAATGGTTGCTAATTAAGAAGTTTCTAAAACTTTCAATTAACTTAATTTTTAGCTATAATGCTTCTCACGCGCATTCGTTATAAATAGAACGCTTTCTTAACGTTTAATTCTATGACTAGTACAGTGATTTTTCATATATTCTACAAATAAGTTTTCTATATATATATACACACACACACATTTGGGTCATACGTTGGATAACTTTAATATATTAAAAACTATAACATAAGACAATTACAAAGAGAAAATACTGTTTTAACGGAAACATTGTTTTGGTATCAAGCACAAAGTTGCACAATGGGCTATCTGTGCTCTGCTATAAATCCGATTAAGCGGTACAAGCTCTTAGGCTTACCGCTGAGCTACAGGGGTTAGGCATATCATTACCTGGTGGTTAGAGCGCTCGACTCGCGGGTTCGAATTCCTGTTACCGAAGATGCTCGCCCTTTCAGCCGTGGGAGGGGGAGGGCATTATAAAGTTAGGTCAATCCCACCATTCACTGGTAAAATTACAGAGAGGTTTATCGTATTATTTACTGAGTTTTTGTTTGTTTGTTTGTTGTTAAGCGCAAAACTATACAATGGGTTATCTACTTTCTGCCCACTACAGGTATCGAAACCCGGATTATAAACCTTCCGACTTACCGCTGAGCCACTGGGGGCTATCTGTTAAATATTTACATTTCTATCTGCTTTCATAATGTGAGACACCACTATGTTATTTTCTTACTTCTAGTTGTTAGTGAGGTTTTCGTTACTTGATGTGATTAATTAGTGTTTAACTTAGGTGCCGATTTTGGTACACAAGATTATCACCTGTGGCGTAGTGGCTTGTTGCGATTAAT